TAAGGGGAATTAAGTATCTATTGTGATGGAACAATTGCTAGCAAGTATTAAAAGTAATATTAAGATAAAGGAAGAACGGATATTACTTGAGGCTTTGTCAGTTGATATTGGCATTGCTTAGAACTTATTTCGTTAGTCCGTTTATAAAATCACTAGCTGTTCCCGTGTGGCTTCATCCGCATGGAATTATAAAATCATTACTCTCAATGGCAAATGTCAAAATTGTCCATTACCATAATAACGTTGCTTCCTTAATTTTGGCAGCTTATAGTTTATAGTCCCTTTCCCACATGAAAGATTTTTCCAATTTATTTACCCCCTAAGTTTAATAGCGTCCCTACATTTTTAATTAAGGAATAATAATTCAAAAATATCCTTGACTGCTGATATCCTACGCCTTGAAGTAGTGTCTTTACGCTTTATTATATTAGTATTAGTAAGGATTAGATTTTTACTATAAAACCTCTTAAAGAACACATTACTTATTTTTTCTTTTTCAAAACTTTGACCCTCATTATGTAAATTTGTTTTACTTCCTTGTATTAAAAAAAAATCGCATTAAAGTTATAATATTAATCCCGAATTAAACAGAAACTCCCAAGACAGGAATTTTGATTTCTGGCAGAATGTTTATGCGACCCCAATATGGCGGTCTTTTCGTTTTGTCATTTCACTTGCGCGGCAAAAAGATGGCCTGTCAGATTTTTATTTTCTTAGCTTCCCGTCACTTCCGGGTTGGTTGTGAATTTTTCATAAAATCTATTCCTTTCTTTTATCATTTGTTAGCAACGTTTTTCCTTCATTTTCTCTTTACTATGCTAACCTAATATTTTGTATATTTTTATTAAAGTAACAAATAAGAAAAGAAATTGAATTAGAGAAATCTACTCTCCGTTCTATTATTAATTTTTCTATAACAAAAATACTTTTTTAGTCAGAGGAAAAATACCCAAAATATTTGGGCTTGACTACAACTATGTAGAATTGGCGGGAAACCAAACTTTTCTTTTAGTTTACGTTATCAATATTCTAATTAAAAAATATTACATATCAAATATATTGCAGTGATATAGTTTAATTCATCTACTAAAAATAAATAAGATTGCTTACCATTTTGACAGTTATTTTTTTAAATATTACAACACCATAGACAATTCACTAATCAAGAGCACAGACACAAAAGTCGATCACTATATCCCACAGCACTGCGCTTCGAATGCACCGACAGCCACTTCCTTTGCCTCTTCGGATCTGTAAGATGAAAAAAAAAACATTGACTTAGTGAAAGTGAGAGCGGTTCGGTCGCGCCTTGTTGAGATGATTTCGACAATGTTATTCGCTTTTTAGTATTGTTGGCAAATAATTAATGCTACGGTGTGATTGTAACTTTATGCACCGATTAGTTTTTGCGCAGTCCGAGCAACTTTTTTCGTTAGTTTGGCGGCAAAAAAATTGTCAGTGCCATAGATTTTCTCTTTTTTATTTTTATTACTTTGAAACATTGATAATACACTTAAATTAAATTTGAATTTGACCTTTTATAATATTAATTTGTGCGTTCGTTTCCTTCGACTCTGAATTTTAGAATCAAGCCAGTCTAAACCTTTCGTTAAGTGGAATTTATTAAAAAAATATAATGTCATATTCAATATTCATAACATTGGCAATGTTTTACGCACATAACCATGAACGAGCGACCCAATAAATACGTTTTCGGTGGCTGAATACAATTTTACCTTCATTTAAAATTCGTATTAAATGGCTTGGGATAACACGTTGACCTCAGCCCCACAACTTTCGACTTTTAACTAAATTATGTAATGTTACGGGCGTGATAATATATCACACCAATTACGCGTCTTTTATTAAAAAGGCTATCATTTTAAGTACGAAAACATGTAAACGATTACAAAATAAGCGGCTAACTTACTGATATTTTTAACAATTAATCTATATACTTCTATACTCTATACTCTATATTCTATACTCTATACTCTATACTCTATACTCTATACTCTATACTCTATACTCTATACTTTATACTCTATACTAATATAATAAAGCGTAAACACACACAACTTCGTGGCGTAGGATGTCAGCAATCACAGCATATTTTTAAATTATCCTTTGTAACAGTGACATTGAAACATTGAAAAAATTTTCATGAGGGAAAGGGACCATAAACTACAGGCTGCCAACATTAAGGAAGCAATATTATTATGGTAATGGTAATTTTGACATTTGCAATTGAGAATTTGTTAAATGTAAACAGTAAATGGGAACAACTAGTTAGTTTATAATACTCACAACGATACAGAGTAATTGGTCCTTAGGGTACGTTTTTCATATTAAAAGAACTAACATAGTAACATGAGGAAATACTTTGTAGAACTTTGACTGTCAATAACATTGATGTCTAACAAGTAGAAAGAAATTCAGAGCATATTTAATTACTTATTCTTGCATAATAAGTTGATTTTGTGTAATATTCCTAATTGTTTCCAAACAACAGTTGATAATTATCTACGTTGAATAAACTTTCTAAGCAAATTAACAAATTGAGGGCAGTTTGACACAGATTTTCACTCGCGTGTCGGCCGCGGCCAGGTGCGCCCGTGATACCCAACACTTATTTACGTTCGACTTTAAATCACTAACAAATGTAATCAACTACAGACTTCACATCCCGATTCAAATTTCCGCGCGATTCCCAATCAATTTTCTCATTTTACTTTTTTTCTACATCAAATTTGCAATATTCTTATCGGCCAGTATTTGTTAAGCAAACCAACCAAAGAGGTCGAATACGTCGAACTTCACTAAACAAACAGAGCAATACATGTTTGGCGACTGAATCGTTTTGATGTTATGTGATTATTAGAAAATGCTTGAAGTACGCATAAAACATACAATTCCTTGAATCAATAAACGCATGTAAAATATTTATACAAATATTGACAATTCATACGTACGTAAGATAACGTTTTTCGAGTGACTTGCTATTTTGTAAAAAAATACAGTTATAGGTTATGCAATTGTAAGAATACTTCCGGCTTTAAAGAAAATTAAAAATATTATTATAATGAAACAGATTTCTACGCATCGAAACACAAACTGGACTGTGTTGTTTCTGTAACCCTTAATAAAACGAGTTTTCATAACCTATTACTAGTGAACAAACATCATACTATAGTCCAATAATCTCGTGACTCCGAAATGCTTATACAAAACTAAAATTTTAAATTTAATTTTACTTTTGTGAATTTCAAAGAGTTATTTATAGATAATAAATAACTCTTTGAAATTCACAAAAGTTCCATAACAATGTAAACGATTTTCTGTTCAAAACCATCGAGAGTAAAAATAGCGCATTTCACGGTGCACGATGTTGGCGTAGTTCACTTTATCTAAATGACTTTCCCGCACACCGCACAAGCTCCTCGAACCGTAACTTCAAATCCGTTTTACGGTTGCACGGGATTCTTATATGACTTCAGCCAGCACTTTTCTCTACCACTCATATTAAGACAAAAAATATTAATATAGTTAATAATAACAAAAACCCTTATTGAGAGTTGAGAAAGAATTATTATTATTTTATGAGGTTACTTCCTGTAATAAGACGTAATCACACACTATTTTGTTATGTAGGATATCAATAACCACAGCCTTTTTCTGTATATATATTTTTAATAATCCTCCTATACTTACGACACGCTTTAGGCTACACACCCTTATACTCGTAAACACACGCTGTTAAATATACGGGGTGAGAAAATAGGACAAAATTACACCAGCAAAGAACCAATGTTGCCATGGTTACTAATCATCAGTCAATGGCGAGGGCTTCTATTTGAATATTTGAATTTAAACATCTTACTAATTTTACAGATGGGAAAGTTTAGAAGGATGGATGGATGTTTGTTAGAGTTTGTAGCCTAAACTGCTGAACGGATAACGATGAATATTGGCATAGATGTAGACGATGGTCTGGAAAAACACATAGACTTTTGTTGTTTTTAATACCACGCGAATGGAGTCGCATGCGAAAGCTAGTAAACAATAAAAAAAAGTTTGTATAATGTCATGCGGATGAAGCCGCACGAGATACTATTTAATTTATAGATATCTGTTTATCTCCAACAGATCACCGTATGATATAGGATTTGCATAATAAAATATTCCACGTCACTTTCATTTTGAACCTCGATGTGGTTGCGTTGCGGTAAAATTGGGACGTGAATCGAAAACACGTGCTTTATAAATAGTAGTATGTCCAAGTCCTCTTGTATTATAAATGACATGTGTTGAATACTCTATGAAACTACATGTACGCAAGAAAAATGAGAGTCAGGAAATTACATATCGAATAAATTTATTTACATGGGCATTTACTTCGACTCTATGCAGTATAGAGAATACTGTTTCTGTACTTGACTTAAATTACAATTTCGTGGCACAAAAATAAAATATCATAAAATAAAAAATATATATAGATTTATAGGACTTTGCTCTAGCTTTGTGACGTAGGATGTCAGCAATCACAGCATATTTTTAAATAATTCTTTTCTTAATATAAATCCCTATACTTATTATACGCTTTAGGCTATATATTTTCGCGCTATTATATTTATGGGGTAAATAAATTGGAAAAAACCTTAATGTGGGAAGGGACCATAAAATACAAGCTGCCAACATTAAGGAAGCAAGGTTATTATGGTAATTGTTATCTAATGTCAAAGGCCTTCGTTGTCATTTGTGCGTTTGAATTTTGACATTTACAATTGAGAATTTGACAAATTCAAACTATACAATAAAGTTTTTATAATTTCCAGCGGATGTAGCCGCACGGGAACAGCTAGTCTCTGACACCATCTTGTCTCGAATTATAATAAACAAAGGATAAATGACCCAGAATTAATCAGGCATCGTGCTCTCCTAACCCAGTTCCAAAGTTGTAATATATAGCGTGCCTAACTTCAGGAATTCCCGCCGAAACGACGTCGGAGCAATTATTAGGGATCAGTTGGCGCGGCGCAGTACCCTAATGGAGCTTTAAAGCCAAAAGATAATCGGCTCAATGCGGTTCGTAGGTTAAACGTAATCCTCCTTAATTTATTCCATTTTCATACGATAGCTAAAACAATTTAATCGTCTATGTTATTAAAAATGTCAACGGATTATTGGTTTGCTTTTTAATCTTAAAAACGAAAATTATGTAAAAAAAAACATACAGAATCAATGATATCTTCTTTTGGAAATCATTTAAAAAGATAAAAAAAACTAAAGGCGTTGCCTTTTTATTGTCTAATATTGCCATTCTTAACGGCAATAAATAATATTAATAGAAACATGGAATCATTATATTAATAAATTACTTTACATTAATATTACGACGTTTTTTTTTTCAAGTTAATTCTTAAGTGGTTTCGAACTAGGCAAAAAAATCTACTATGTTATTTCAAGATTCCAAAGCTATCTTTAGCTACGCGTGAGAAGACAAAGTGCTTTTAGTGTCACGTTAAACCAAAAACAGACAAAAAAAATAATCAAAATTAATGTGGAATTTCTCTAAAATGTTCAACATCGCTTATTACGAACGAACTAAATGTACGAACTAACTGTAAGTACAATAAACATTGTTAAAACTGTGATCAGTCCGTTTTCCCGCGCTTCGGTTTCTATGTCTAGCATAATGGTATATTTTAAGAGTAGTAGAGGGCGCAACTTTAGCTGTACTAATAGCCCGATCGAGTAAAATAACTACCACCGAAGACAGAAAGTACAGGGCAGTGGAAGTACTTCCACGTTTCGTGTTATGATTATTTATTACTAGCTTACACCTGCGACTCCCTCCGCAAATAATTAAAAAAAAAACAAATGCAAGTAGCCTGTGTTCTTCAAACTATCTTCTACATCTATGCTAAATTTCATCGTAATACGTTCATTAATTTTGGCTACAAACTGTAACAAACATCGATTCATCCAACTAAACTTTCGCATTCATAACATTAGTAACATAGTAAGATTATTATTTTGAAAATATCAGCTACAATTTTATGCGTTGAATAAATGACAATAAACTTTCTGTTAGCTTTAGTATTGTAAACGGAAGTGGAAATCGACTTCCCAATTATCGATACGTTAAAGAACTGCAGTCTCACTCTTCAACGTTTTCAATACAATTTATTACGCGGTAATACGTAACCGAGAGCGTAAGTCAGGGGTGACGAACCTTTGGCACGCGTGCT